TTGTTGATTTGGTCTTCGTTCCTGGACCGAAAGAAACGCACGAAACTCACCTCGAAATCCGGAACGAAATTCTCCAGGACACTCCGGGCCCATCCTACCATGTTCCGAACCGAACGAAATCCGCTCTGCGATGCTGGCGCCATGAGTGGTGGCGACGCTCGACGCGCGGAGCGGGGCGAGGGTCCCGCGCCGCAGGTGCGCGGCGCTCGCGGCGTCGAGAGGGGCGTCCGAGACGGGCTGGGCCTTCGTGCCGAGCCCCTCGGGCCTCGCCGGCGCGCCCGCCGGCCTCCCCGATGCAGGCGCCGCGGGCGGCGACCCCGCCACCTGCGGTTAGGTCTGGCACGCCCCCCTACAGGGAGATTCCGGAGGAAAAATAAAAGGTGCACCAAACATGCGCAAAAAGAGCCCGCAATAATATCAAAGAATCGTCCCCAGCCTGTCTTTTACTATTCTTGAAGGCTCCTCCTGCAGGGGGACAGGCCCGACTGAAACCTACGGTTGGGCTGGGCAAAATCCGCCAGTGCCCCCGTGGCCCGTGCAGCCGCAGCAGGCCGCCCTGCCCGCCGAGGTCAAGGCTGCCTAGTCGCCCGAGGGCAGGCTCGGCGTGAGCCTGGAACGGCTGACGTGGCTGCCGTCGGGAGGGCCGCTGGCCAAGATGATCCTGGGCGGGATGCTCATCAGCCTGCTGCCGTCGGCGTTGTTCCCCAATGCTGTGAAGGGCGTGATCGTGTTGACCGACGTGGCCCAGGAGGCGGGGTCGGCAGCAGGCAGGACTGTGACCGCTGGAACCAACACCAGCACCAGTGCCGCCAAGTTCGTGTCGGCAGCCACCGACGGCTCCATGGGAGTGATCGAGGCGGCATGGCGTGGCGTGGATCTCCTTCGGCGTCCCCCCAACATACTTATACTATGTGTTCGTCGCCCCCCCAGGGTGGGACGCGCGCACCGAGAAATCTTATAGTATATGCATCGTGGCCGGCGCTTTCTGGCCACACCGCTCGAGGAAAGATGACTACAAGATGGGTATACTATATGTTCGGGTCGGACGCGCGCCTCCAAGACGGACACATAATATTAGTATGTCTCTGTGCGTCCCACTCCTGGACGTGGACATCGTGGGCAGCTCTGGCCGAGTCTTCGTCGAGAGTGAGGCCAGCTGGGCAGACATCCTCGCCGAGCCAGAGGTGCAGCATACGATGGGGTTGGAGCAGGAAGCTTTGAGTGAGCTCGAGCGCTTGCTGTCCCTGTGCTCGTCCAGCCGCCCTCGAGGCGAATTCGCGCATCACCGTTTTTCTTTCAGCGCAGCTCGATTTCACCAGCTCGTGAGTTTATGGGCCCGTTGGCTTCCCAGCGGCCATGTCGGGATTGCCTGGAGGGTGGTCACAGTAACCTTTCGCCCCCAGTGGGCAAACCCTCTTTGGGGGGCCCTCGGCACAAAGGAGTCAGCCGAGACCCCAGGCATGACCGACCGGCTTCAGCAGCTAGCTCTTCAGACTTTCCCAGAGCCTGACCTCGACTTCGGCCGAGGCGCTCCAGGGCCCCCCTTCCCTCCCCACTGTTTTATTCTCGGATGACCCTCTTTCGGCGCACCAAGGTGTGGGTTGGGCGGGTGTTCAGGAGCTTCCGTTCGTTCTTTGCCCCAGCTAAGGCAGCACTGCTTTCCCTGGACCGCGGGGCGAATGCGGGCGACAATACAATAGGGCCAGTGAGGTCTGCTACAGATGACAGTCTGATCGTGAGGCCGCTCGCGGGTGCGGGTGGCGGTGAGCGCACCTGGGCCCTGATCATCCAGCATCCGTACCAGCCGAAGTCCAGTTTGCAGGCAACTTAAGTTGAGCTGATGTTCTCTCTGGCCCGCTCGCGTGCAGGACGCGAGGGGCAGGCGCAAATATACACATGCATCAAAAGTGTTGTGGAGACACCAGAGCTGGCAGCAACATATGTTTGGTATCTCTGATCTCTCTGCCCAATATGGGTGGGCCCCAACCTCAGTGCTGAAAAAACCATACAAGGCGGAGTAAAGGGAAGAAAACGGGGGAAGGGAGGGGAACAAGCCGTCTGAGCGGAGGTGCGGAAGAGGCGGGGGGGGGGAAGGAGGGAAGAAGGAGAGGGGCCCAGATATTCACTTAGAAACACTGTTTCACCGTTTTCGGCCTGCGGGTGTCCCCAGACCCGCCTTGGCGCGCTGAGCACTTGTTAACGGATCGAATATCGAGCTGATGGGTGTGTGTGTGTGCTTACAGATTGGGAGACCAAGATTTAGAAGTGTGTGTGTGTGTGCTCCGTTCGCCCCTGGTCGGGTAATTATCTGCACCACGCTGGTTTTCCCTGCGCGCCCGTGCGCCTTCACCGGCGTTCCGCCGCACGGCTTGCCCCCTCCCTGCCCTCGTGCGTCCTGCTGCAGCAGCGTGGCGCTCGGCCACTTCACCTCCTGCATTCGTTTGTACATTCGGCCGCTTGCGGCGTATTCCACGTGCACGCCCCACACTACTGCGCTATTTTCTTGCACGCGACAGCCCCGTCAGCCCACCCACCTGCAACTCCGGGTGGAATTCGACTAAACGTGCCACGGCTGAGTACTCGGGACAGTGCGGCCACCTCGCCGCTGGAGGAAAAAGTGTATACTCCTCCTGCTGCTCCTCCTCCTCCTCCTCCTCCTCCTCCTTCTCCTCCTCCTCCTCCTCCTCCTCCTCCTCCCGGCACCTCCCGCCTCGCTTCGCGGCCCTTGCTGACACACCTCTCGCTGTTGTTTTTTCCCTGGCCTTGCTCTACCAAACTTGCCTGGGCAGGCCCCCCGCAGCTCCGCGTGTCTGCCTTTTGCTGCTGTGTCCAGATCCGGCACACCTGCCGTCGGTGGCTGCACGCGCCCTGACCGGAAAACGCAGGACTGCATGCCCGCCGTCCCCACACTTGTGACGCGCCTCCCCTTCCACGCGGAACGGTCGGGGTCTCCCTCGTCCGGCGCCGTTCTCGAAAGGCCTTAACCAACAACGTTTTGGGTGCAAGTCACCCTGACGTGATCCGTAACTGTATCGCGACTGTGGTGTCACAGTGCTGTCGGAAATGCATGTGTGTGTACATATAGGAAGCGGCCCCCCTTCGTCCCCCCCTCGCGGCTGTCTCCCCGCGGGTCGTGCTGCGCGGCTCCGAGTGAACCCGGCACGCCCTGCTGCTTTTGAGCTGGGCTTCTCTCGCGCTCTGCACTCATCGGCCGGCAGCCTGACTTTGTTCGCCGCGTTGCTGCGCGCGTGGCCGCGACGCCCAAAAAGTGCGTGCACAACCTGCATGTCTAGAGGAGGAGGAGGAGGAGGAGGAGGAGGAGGAGGAGGTACCGAGCGATGGAAGCGCGAGTCCGAGCTAACGGACCCGCCCCAGCGGCGTGAAACACAGAAGCTGCACTGCAGGTCGCTGCAACGCACAGCTCTTCCTCAACAGCTGCGTCCCCACCTTATCGGCCAAGCCAACAGAGGAGACTAGGCGTCGAGGGTGGCATTAGGTGCAAGAGGCACCAGTGCGAGGATGAAGACCGCGCATCGCCCGAGAGATATGCATCTCCTCGTTGGCGCGAATGGACGCAACGTCCGAATGCCCTTTGCATCTGGCTTGCTGCAACTTCTTGTTGCGGCCGCCGGCAACGGAATAGGCACCACACGCAAGACAGACGACCACCGAGCCGAACCTCTCGGCAACGTGGCCCAATTCCTTGCACAAATCCACCTCCCCGTCGACCCCCCCGACGGCGACGACATCAACCCGCTCCCCCTCGACGTGCCCTGCCTCGGGGCCAGACGCCTCCTCGAGTTCACGGGCAGCACGCACGGCTTCGGCAACTGCGGCCGAGGGGTGGCGGTAGGTCTCAGGAGTGATATTGAAGTACCTGGCCGCCGAGGCACGCTGCAAAGGGGGGCGCAGGGGCGCGCGCGCAGCGCCTTCAAGGAGGCAGGGGTCCGAGCCCAATGGTTGCAGACGCGCCAACGATGTTCAGAAAGCCGGTCGCAAACCATGAACTCATGGGTCTCAAGGGCCACAATTGGGGCAGGAGGGGGTGCTCGTCTGGGCGCTGGTGCACCAGCGCGCGGCTGGAGCTCATCGACCCTCCGTGCCACTGTGCGGGCCATCCATGAAAACACTTGGGCGTCCTTCTGGGCCTCGACCAAACGCTGCCGATGGACGTCCTGGAGCACCTGGGCAACCATATGAGACCTAGCGCCTTTTTTCGCAAAATGGTCAGCCCACTCATTGCCAACAAAATCCAGAAAATCAGCGGAAAAATCGCCCAGTACATCTTCAGCAGAACGATGTGCGGGCACCCACTGAAACGTAGGGTGCTCGTCCGAGCTACCACTGGCAACATGCATGGACCTCCAAACCGAAGCATGCCGGGAGCGAGCCGACTCGTTATGGGGCCCCCATGCTGAGCCCGTCTTGACAGCAGACAGATGGTCAGAGACGATGTGCACCGAACAACCAGCACACTTGACCGCCATCAGGCAAGCATAGTATTCAGCCCTAGGGACAGTCTGGACTGGGCCTGGGAGCGCTCCAAAAACTGCTCGGCGGATGATCCCCGACGCGTCGAGCTCCACGACCGCCCAACCGCATCGAGTGAGACCTGGGAGCGAGGAGGCTAACCCAGACCCGTCCGTGTACACCTTCCGCCCCCACACTCCGCGCCAATCCCCCCGCAGCAGCATCAGCAGCAGGAGGAGGAGGGGGAGGGCCTGGAGGGAGGGAGGGAGGGAGAGAGGGAGGAGGAGGAGGAGGAGGAGGAGGAGGAGGAGGAGGAGGAGGAGGAGCAGGAGGAGGCGGAAGAGGAGGAGGAGGAGGGAGGAGGAGGCCAACGAGGAGAGGAGAGGAGGAGGAGGGAGGAGGAGGAGGAGGAGGAGGAGGAGCAGGAGAGGGAGGAGGATGAAGAGGAGGAGGAGGAGGAGGAGGAGGAGGACGGCATCGAGGCTCGCCCCCCCCCACCCCACCCACCCCGAAGCGCGCCAGCCGAGCTCCTCGAACGGCCGCCGCCCCCACGCCGAAGCGGCCCGGCCCGGCGCCCCAGGGCCGCGGCGGCGCCCCGCACGCGGGGGTCTTGCGCGGAGGGGCGGCCGACGGCGCGCGTCGGGCGCAGGGCTGGCATGGTAGGCAGAATGATTTCGTCACGTGGTGCGAAGTCTCCTCCACTCCCCTCCTCTCCCCCCCCTCCCCCTCCTCCTCCTCCTCCTCCTCCTCCTCCTCCTCCTCCTCTCCTCCTCCTCCTCCTCGTCCTCTCCTCCTCCTCCTCCTCCTCCTCCTCCTCCTCCTCCTCCTGCTCCTCGTCCTCGTCCTTGTCCTCGTCCTCCTCCTCCTGCTCCTCCTCCTCCTCCTCCTCCTCCTCCTTCTCCTCCTCCTCCTCGTCCTCCTCCTCCTGCCCCTCCGCCTCCTCCACCTGAGATTCGCATCAAGTGACGAATCCCAGTTGCCGACATGGACTTCGGATCCGTGGAGTTGGCGCGGGGGCGCCAGGTGCACTGGTCGGGGAAGGCATCTTCCGACACATGAGACCAGCACCGCCTGGCTTGGCGACGGAGCGCGCCGACACCGCAGGGAAGTGGGACCCGTCGCCAATCCACGCGCGTTGATCCGTGTGTGTGCGCTGCCTCCAGCAAGTGCTGCTGCTGCTGCCTCTGAGGCCGCTGCCGCCGCGGCCGCTGCTGCTGCCCCTTCAGATCTGCCAGGCGTTGAAGAAAAACATCGCGTCGGCTGGTTTGTCGTAGCTTTCGGCCTCTCGACGCCGTTCCCCAGCCTGGGGACTGTCAAAACAGTTTGGGGGATGCCGCTGCGGCCGCTGCGGTCCCCGCCATCCTGGCGTCGCCAACGAGGCACGGCGGAAGTGTTGGCCTTCACCGGGCCCTCAGAGCCGTCAGAAAACGGCTCGGGGCGAACAGAAAACAGCCCCGGGGAAAAGGTCCAGACCTCCGGGGATCCACATTGCGACCAAAATCACGACGCGTGGGTCCAAGGGCGCATGCGGTGAGCAGGACGCTCAGAACTCGAGAGGCACCGTGCTCCGCACCACCCCGCAATCGGCTGCGCGCCAGGGTGACCCCAGGCAAGAGGTGACCCTTGGTGTGCGGATCTGGGGGGCCACGGGCAGGCCGAATCCCAGCGCGCTCCGCGCGGGGGGGGGGACCCTTGTCGGTCCGCGCCAAAGGTCACTCTTCAGAAGAGGGCCACTCTTCGGAGGAGGGCCAAATTAAGACAAGGGCAACCCCCTCGCCCAGCCTCCAACTCCGCTCGAAATCTGTCTCCGGACCCCTCCCGGAGTTCATCCTGACCCGATAAGGGGGGGTCCATCCTGACCCGATATTCGACGCGGGCTCAGCAGTGGCGACGAGAAGGACGCCCCAAAAGGACGCGCGCGCGCTGGAGCTTAGGTGCGCGCGCGGGAGCGCGATGGTACGCTCGCGTGTGACGAACAACGCCAGGGAGGGGCGCCGTTGTCTCGACTGACCCTCCTCCGATCTCTCTAAGCTACTCGTCGCCGACTCAAGCGAGGCAGTTCGCAAAGCAACAAATGACGATCTCAAGCGTGTGATTGGGAAAGATCGTTCTTGTCAGGCGCTCTGAGTGAGCTCTCGCGACTACGTCGCCCCTTCAGGCTGGCCTGAGTTAAAGTGGCAATCGCCCTCCCTCCTGCTAGCCCGCCCGCGCTGGAACAAGGAAGGGAGGGGAAAGGAAGGTACAGTCGGGGCGCTGACCTAAGAAACCCCAAATAAGGAACGAGGCCCCTGTTTATCAGCTAAACTTCGGTTTTCCATCGAAAACCTAAGGCTAACCTGAGGCAAGCTGTGAAACAATCAAGGAACACCGAGCCCCTCCCCAACGAAAAGGGTTCCTTCTCCAGCGCCCCGACTGTACTGCCTGGTTGCGCCGCTCCACTTCGACGAGCTGGCGCCAGACACGAGAGGAGCTGGAAGAGAAGCTGGGACCTGGGGGGCGACGACGCCGAGCGGCGGCCGATGCCTGCTCTAGACTCCAGACTCCAGACCGGTGCAGCGGCAGCGGCAGCGGGAGCCGGCAAGGGCATTTGGATGCCAGAAATGACTACGGAAACCACGGGCACGATTCCCAACAACGTATGTTGTCCAAAACCGACGGTGGCCTCCTCTGTTGGCCAGGCGGCCTTCCCTGTCCCGAATGGACAGCGCCCGCGACAGCTCGGGCAGCGGCTCCTGTCCAAAGTGGACAGGACCGCTCTGTTGGTCTTCGTACCCAAGTCGATCGCACCGACGGACCAGACAGGCGGCAGCGAGAGCCGGCAGGAGCAGGACAGCGTCCGCGGCGACACCGGCAGCGAGCCCTGCTCAGAACGGACCGGCAGCGAGTCACCGACAGCGAGTCCTGCTGTCAGTCTTCGTGCCCCCTCTTCACATACCCGCGCCGACCGTGCCGGCAGGAGCAGGGACCGTCGGCGGCGACGACGAGGGCCAATAGCCCAGGGGCGGGCATTACACGCATTCGCCCGGGAGCCTTGTCGAAGGCATATATCATCGGCGCACCTGGATACACGTATCGCTCTCCCCTGGACGATTCGCCCCTATCGCCGCCTCCGACCCTGCCGCGCGGCTCCCGGGCGGCTCCGGCGCCGCCCTCGCCAAGGGGGGGGAGAGCGGCGGCGCGCCGAAGGTCGGCGGTCGTCGTTAGGTCCATGCCCCTGCTGCTGGGTGCCAGGGGAAGCAAGGCATGGAAAGGGCGCGGCTGCAGAGGCCAGGACTTTACCAGTGCATCCGCTCTGGCCCCTCGTGGGGTCGGGGCGTGAGCGGGGGCATGGAAAAAGTGTCGATAGCCGAGACAGAAGGAATGGAAGTTCAATGCAGTCATCGTGCTGCCACGAGGTGAGGAAAGCTGAGGGAGAACGAGGAGGCCTGTTCTGGCCACGGCGAGCCTCGGCTACGAAGGAGACTCCCCGACCTAGCTTTACCAGGGAACGGCCCGAATGACCAGAGCCACTCCTGAGCCCCAAGTGGTCCTCATGTCAGCGTCTCGACTGCACCGAGGCGATACCGCACTGTACAGGGGGGAGCTGCCGCTCCTCCGGATGGTGCTGCTCCTGCTGCTTTCGGGTTGCTCGCACAGACCGCCTGCGGGAGCCATGCCCAGTTGCTGGTCTCGGCCCGTACCATCACTGAACACCCGTTGGAGGTCTTGTAGCAGCTTTGCAAAGGTCAGCCGCCCTCGAACACCGCCTGCCGCTGGCCCGAGGCTGAATCTGCCCCCCCCTCCAGCCCAGTCCCAGCATCCCTTGCACTCGGAGCTTGGGCTGCAGCGGTGCATCGGAAAAGGAGGCCCTGCCACGGCCTGCGCGGCGGGGCGGCCGATGGCCCACGGCGCAGGTGCTGCTGCAGGCTGCGGGCGAAAGCCGCTCCTGGTCCTACTCCGCCCGCTCAAGCTTCGTCTTTCTCTGCGGGGACACCCCTGGCAGGCAGCTGCTTTGGAATAGCCACTGAACTGAGCTCACTGGACACTCATCAAAATGCGGTGGCCGCAGGCGGCTGTTATGGATAAGGTCACCGCAAACCGCTGGTCGAGGAGGGGCTGGAAGTAGGAGGAGAAGAGATAAGACAGCGCCTGGCAAACCTGCGACTACTCCTTCTCCGAGCAGCATGCATGCCCGGCAGGCGTACTGATCTTGGCCATTAACATGGTAGGTGGACGTTCGGTGCTCGATCTCTTTCGCGAGCGGACCACAAAAGACGCTACCCTGGAAAACCCGAGGGTTGGGGGAGAGCGCGGGGAGCGCTGCGCGCTGGGTAGGCACGCGCCCGCGGGGGGGGGGCGAGCGGCGCACTCGTCGCTCGCCGCTCCCCGCGGGAGCGCGCGGGTGCAGCGACACCCCGCGCCCCACCCCAACCAAAGGAGCGGCGAAGGGCGAGGGGAAACAAAAGCCGCCACGGCGGCCCGCGACGCGCGCACCGAGGGCGCCAGCCTCGCGTTCGGCCGACAAGCGCCCTCGGGGCAGCGCGCGCGACGCGGGGGTATATTTACCCTCCCCCCACCGCAGGGAGACGTGGACAAAGAACACGAACAAGACGAGGAACACGAAGTCCATGAAGACCTGAGGCGAGCCACCCCAAACGCACCCCCCAACCGACCCAACCCGCCCCACCACAGGCACCGCGGCGAACCGCGGCGCCAGCGGCGGGGCGGCAGGGGTAGAAGGTTCCCAGGTCCGCGTTTTTGTGACAACGAACAAAACTGCGTTGTGTTCTCGCCCACAAAAGACGCTACCCTGGAAAACCCGAGGGTTGGGGGAGAGCGCGGGGAGCGCTGCGCGTTGGGTAGGCACGCGCCCGCGGGGGGGGGCGAGCGGCGCACTCGTCGCTCGCCGCTCCCCGCGGGAGCGCGCGGGTGCAGCGACACCCAAGGCCCTTGCTGCACCTGCGCGCGAGGAAAACCCAACGCTGTTCTCGCCGAAGGTGTTCTATAGGCTCACAGCCACCTCAGTCCTTGTCTTCGTCGCTGGACGAAGCGCCGCCGTGCGCTTCCCTGACGGCGCTGTCCTCAAGCGCATCCCTGTCTAAATATGACAGGAAGGCGGCGGACCGCCAATCTCCGGCGCGAAGGATGTCGGCCAGCCGCGAGCCACGCACCGCCATGTCTTGGGCGTGGCCCCGACGAAAATCGTGGGTGCGATAGGCATCGTGCCGCGGCACCCCGAGCTCTTGCAGGGCCGCTCTCAACGCCGATAGGACAGCGTCCGGGCGGAAACCCGCAAAAGGCTGCTGGGCCGCGCTGTCGGCGCAGAATTTCCCCAGCGCGTGCACGGGGCACGTTGATGGACAGCGCGCGCACCAGCACGTGCGCGTCATCGTGAGCGGCGTGGCGCGATTCTTGCGCCAAAGCAACGTCAGCGAGATCGAGCCGTCATGCAGGCGTAGGCAGCTCTTCGGCTCGACCGCCCGCGGCGGATCGCCGTCCCGAGCGACGTGCATCGGCAGTGCTTCCGACGGCAATCGCAACAGGAATATGTACGCCGTCAAGAAAAGCATCTGCAGCTCGCGCCCCGATTGGTGGCGTTCGAGATGCTTCAGTAATCT